GACCTAGTTTTCCTACTGAGAAGTACGTTAGTCACTCTCATGCTTGTAAAGTGTGTGCCCCACCAGTGACCACAGGAAGGAATGCCCCCGCTTTGTAATTCCTCATGTGAACTGGGCATCAGCTCTCCTCCAGTGGGCAGGGTGCAGAGAAGTGAGTAAAATGCTTGGAAGAAGGCCTCTCAGGACCGAATGTGGTGAAGACATAAACTAGAAATGCACAAAAGAAGTTCCAGTGACGAAGGAGCATGAACAAGGAGACTAATCTATCCTGAATATACAAGTAGAAATTCAGACCATGAGAAATGAGCAGGCTGACACTATTTCATAGATGTGATAATATAGAATGTTGGCCAAGGCATTGTTTTTGGTGGAACTGTGTCTTTTTCAAACCACTGTGTGTCAGAATTTGACCTTATTTGGAAATAGGGTCTTCACAGAGGCTATCAGGTTAAAATGAGGTCCATAGGGAGGGCTCTAATCCAATATTTTTAAAGGGGAAATTTGGACACAGAGACAGACAGACATGGGGGAAGATGATGTGAGAACACACAGGAAAAAGACAGTCATGTGACCGGACCTAGTGGCTACACACCAAGGATGCCAAGGACGGCCAGCAAACACCAGCAGCTGGAAGATGCATGGAAGGATTCTCTCCTAGAGCTGGCAGAGAGAAGGTGCTGCTAGCCATACCTTGATTTCAGGTGTCTGACCTCCAGAACCATGAAACCACCAGCCCTGTTTTTCCAGGCCACTCTAGAACTTTGTGGTACTTTGTAATGGCAGGCCCATGAAGCTGATGAAGGCACGATAATATGCACAGATTCCCTACTGTCCAGAATAGGAGATGATTTTTCATTTCTGGAGAGCAGTTTGTCAACATGTATCAAGAATCTTTAAAGTGATAATTTAAAGGAAATATTCTGATTCCTCTATAAGATGACCATGAGGGCTGTGTAATAGGGATAGGGCAGGGATTGAAACCACAGGGACCCAAAGTGTGTGCAGACAAGAAGGTTATGGGTCACCAAGGCCACTTTCAGGAGGTGGGGTTAAACGTTCACTTTACTGTGATTCCTTGGAAGGGTTGATGGCAGAAAATGATAATTTCTGCTCACTCTTACACTTAGCACCCCTGTGTGCTCTCAGGAGAATGGAGAGCATACAGGGGCCACTGTAGGGGCTCAGGAAAGAGTTGGTGGTGGCCATGACTGCAGTGCGGGCAGGGAACACAAGAGAACTGGGTCCCTTCAGCATGTGTTTTGTTGGGAGATCCACGGCACCTGGTATCAAGGAAGACTCCTTGGTTTTCAGAGTGAGAAACTGGAAGGTTACTGTTACCCCTGGTGTGGGGACAGTTGGCTGGAAGCGGAGTGTGAGTGAATGGCAGGAGACTCAAAAGGTCCATTTTGCACAAGTGGAATCTAAGTTGAGATCTCCAAATAGAGATCTCAGATAAAAGGTATGGACAGACTGCTAGGGAAATGTGGGAGTCTTTAGCAATGGTGGTTATTTAAAATCATAGGAGTGGACGCCATCCGCTGGAGAAGAGAAGACAGAAAAGATGGGGTCAGGGCTCCCTGGTACCACAGCACTTTCCATGAACCTGCTTGATCGTGATTCAAGACACACCAGCTTTGCAACTGATGACTATTTGCATCTGGAGAGTAAAAACCTCTGCCCACCGTATTGGCTCCACCACACAGGAGTATTCTCTTCAGCATGGAATGCCACGTTTAAGAAGCTGGACTATACACAGAGGCCGTCGACTACTTTAGAAAGACAGGAGGGCTTCGTATAGGAGCTGCTATGGGATTCTGGAGTGTGTCATCTGGAGGGGCAGACACTGAAGGAGGGAACTTGACGATTGTTGTCGGATACTTGGTCATATCATCATGCCTGGGCAAGCTTCCCAGGGCTGCCACAGAAAACGACCACAAACGGGGGGCTTAGAAATATAGGAATCTATTGTCTCATGGTTGTAGAGGCCGCAAGTCCAAAGTCAAGGCTTCTGATTCTACAAGCCGTGGAGGAAAGTTTCAGAAGGCGTTTGTGGTTGAATTTCTCCCTCTTCCTCCTGCACCAACCAACTAGCATTTATTAGGCACTTACTGTGTTCCAGCCTCCTTGCCCATGTTTCGTTTGCCTCATGTCTCTTCATCCAATTATTGGTGTTCTCACTAGACTGGAGAGCTTCGGAAACCAGTCAAGGACCTCAATAGCAGGGTTAAACTCCTCAGATCTTTTTTTCTGCAATATATGATTTTTTTTTTCCGAGTAAAAAGAGGAATTGTAAGGTCCAATACATTTGGAAGATGATAAGCCACTTGTCTGGAAAGAGGTTTCTGTACTGCAGAATTCTGAGATCAGACGGGGAGACGAACCACGAGAGACTGTGGACTCCGGGAAACAATCTGAGGGTTTCAGATGGGAGGGGAGTAGGGGACGGGTTAGCCTGGTGATGGGTATTAAGGAGGGCGCATTGCGTGGAGCACTGGGTGTTATACGCAAACAATGAATCATGGAACACTGCATCAAAAACTAATGATATACTGTATGGTGACTAACATAACATCATAAGAAAAAAGAATTCTGAGAACCTTCAATTTTCTAATGGGCATTGTGTCTAAGAAGGAAAGATAGTGTACTTTCCCAGATTATTCAACTTTTATTCCACCAAGCATCACATGCAATTACTTCTAAGGAACACAGAATGGGAAATGTTGTTTTGCATGACCATGGCTTTGTTAATATTAGCCATAATTATAATTCTGGAGTGTGTCTCTTCCTCTGTTCGAGGAAGAAGTACTTTGAACTGTAAGGAAAACGTCATCATGGGTCCAGCAGACACAATGCTGAGATTTCACTAGAAGAAGGCTGTTTTACAACTACACACAATTCCAGGAATTTTCAGATGTCAGGTGAATCCTGGTGCACCCGAGGCTTGAATTCGGTGACCTAATTACACGTTTGTAGATTGGAGTCTGTGTTGGAGTTGAGGGGGTCGGGGTACAGTGCGCCTTCTACTCAGTGATGGGACAAGTACACATTCTCCAGAAAATGATAACTTGATGCAACTCACCTTTCTTTCATTGGGATTTTTTGTAGGTTGTTGAGAAAACAGTGCCCTGTTTCCTCAGGAATCTGAGCAAATGATCTATATCTTTCCCACCTTCTGTTGAAACAAACGGTATTTGGTGACCACCAATACCTGCGGTGGGGCAAATAGTTGGAGAGTTAACAGAGACAGAGTACATAAAGACCAACAGAGGCAGGGTTCAACTTTTCTTTTTTCCTTTCTCTTTCTTTCTTCTTCTTCCTCTTTTTTTTTTTTTTTTTTTTTT